CCGGCACCCTCTCCCACCCCCAGGAAAAGAAGGGCGGCGATTGGGCCCCTGAGTAATGAAGGATGATGGACAGTAATCCCAGCTAAAGAGTCCAGGATTAACTGGCTGTCATTACGGGGACACCCTGGTAACCCAAGCCAGCAGCCGGCTTGATTGATGAGGGGCGATCTGGAATGGCTGAATCCTCGGTGCCCCTTGGAGGGTGGGTGGCGAGGGGCAGAAGCTCAGCCTCAGCATAAATAAGCCCGCAAAGGTTATTCAATGACTAGCAACCCCATGGTGCTGTGCTATTTCTTCTGCCACCACGGGCTGTAAATATCCCAGCTCCCCCCCCCCCGTTGCACCTTCCATGCATAGCTGGGCACCCCATCTCCCTCCACCACCCATGCGCCCCCCGGACAGGCCTGGCAGGGGTGCCCTCGGTCCGAAAAAAGGTGGCCACCAGGAAGGCAAGGGCAGCTGGGCTAGGAGCCACCACCACCCCTGCCACCGCCACCCTCGGCTTCCAAGGCAGGGGACAACCTTCTTCTTGGTCGAAGGCTCGGTTGCCTTGTGGGAGGAAAGCGGCTTCCTTGGTTTGCAGCGAGAGAGCTGATTCCGCCGAGACCCAGGGGGTCCCAACAAGACGGAGGAGGAGCAGGCTTCTTGGTTTTTATAAAGGCGCTCACCAAAAGCAGACGGGGATGGCCCGAGAGGTGCGATTCTGCCCCCAAAGACCAACCCCTGGCCTGTCCCAAGGCATAACGGCCATAGCTTTGCCGTCACTGAATGGGTTGGCTTCGCGTATAGTTTTCCTGGAGGCGGCCAGCGCTGACCTGCCGTGGGTGGGCGCGTGGTCTTTGTAAAGGTGACGCCAACACCGCCCTTGGGAACGTTTCAATAAGCAGGCCGGAAGGCGAGACGGGGGCTTCTTTTGGATTGATCCCCGATTCCCTGTTTATCCTGTTTTCCTTTTCATTGTCACCATGACACTGTGAAAAAGACGTCCACTGCTGTGAGGACTAGAAACTTGGCTTTGTTCAAAGGAAAAGAGGCAGGGGAGAGAGGGAAAGAAAGACGGAATGAATGAACAAACGGATGCATGAACGAACGTAAGAAAGAAAATTTATAGCCATCAAAGTCATAATGACAGTCTGTTGCGCCAGAAAAAGGTGTCTGGGGTGCCACCTGTAACCGCGGAGTGCTGTGCCATTAAGGTCAAATGCCACGAAGGCTTGGGTGCAACAACGGCTGTTGACACCTGGTCTAACCCTAGTGTAAATCCACCGCGATACCATTAAAGTCACTAGAACGGCTCCAAATTTAGCCCAACGCGGGACGTGCCCCTGCGTTCCTCGTCCCCTCCGTCCTTTCTGCCTCTGATCCCCGGGCCCTTCGCGATGTGTTCTGATGAGGTGTCACATTGCAGGGGAATAAAGGGGCGACGAGGGAGATCACATGAAAGGATGGCACGGGGAGGGGGGTGAGGCGGCCGGATGCCAGCGCAGCCACGCTGATCCCAACGTGGCCCACAGAGCCACGCCAGAGGCGCCCGGAGCCCGGCTTCTCACGGCACCGTTGCTTCCCCCATCTTCCTGCCGAGTTCCAGAACCTTCGTGGGACCTTTTCCTGGACTGCGTTTCCTCCCGAGGGCTTCTCTGGAGGGTTTTTCCCAGACAAAATGGATGCTGTTTGGACAAGGGGCCCCTCCAGGAGGCTGATTCTGGTTATGTGCAAGCCAAAAAAATAAAGGGAAGGAATGGGGGAAGAAGCACTTTATTTGAATGGGGTTTAGAATGTCTGAAGTCAGTTTTTAAAAGGTGACTTACACAATGCACATAGAAGCATGGAAATTTTGGAAAATGTGTTCACTGGTTGGGTTTCTTTTTTTAATGATGTGTTTGAAATGGGTTGTTTATTTGAAATAGATTTGTTTTCAGGCATTTTGGCATATACTTATGTTGGTGTAAACGGTGTCTGTAGCGTTTGCCATTCACTGGCATGTCTTTCCTGCTCCCTCTCTTCTCCACTCCATGTATGGGGGGGTATTGTCAGCCGGTCTATCTAGGTGTGTGCTGGGCTGCAGGAAAACCACGCTGTGTTCTCCCCCATCTGGCATTCTGTGCTAGCGCTATGCCAGATTGCAAGAATTTTTTTTTAAAAAAATGTAACATCACAGTAGCAGCCGCTGCTGGCTGTGAGAGGCAGACACTGCAAAACCGGCCGAGCTGGTGGGTGGAGGGAAAACCCTCAAATGCGGTGCTTCTAAAACCCCCTTCAGCCGATATACAACACAGTTTAAAAATGGAGTCAACATTTTCCTAAGGGGATGCACACACTGACCCCCCCAAACCAGATGATTACCACGTGACTGTAAAATGCAAAATTCCTGATCCATTACTCGATTTATTTCAAGAGTGTAACTGTGCTGATGCAGATTGATTCCCACACTTCCTACCAACCAGCTATTTTGCTCGGGTCGATCCTTCAGATGTCGGTCAGACTGCAACTCCCATCAACCCTAATCAGCATCCCCAAAGGTTGTTGGAAGGGACCATCTTTGCTCAGGACCACCAAACCCCTCCCAGCCCAAACACTGGTGCCTTTTCTCTCTGGAGGGTTTTTCCCAGACAAAATGGATGCTGTTTGGACAAGGGGCCCCTCCAGGAGGCTGATTCTGGTTATGTGCAAGCCAAAAAAATAAAGGGAAGGAATGGGGGAAGAAGCACTTTATTTGAATGGGGTTTAGAATGTCTGAAGTCAGTTTTTAAAAGGTGACACACAATGCACATAGAAGCATGGAAATTTTGGAAAATGTGTTCACTGGTTGGGTTTCTTTTTTTAATGATGTGTTTGAAATGGGTTGTTTATTTGAAATAGATTTGTTTTCAGGCATTTTGGCATATACTTATGTTGGTGTAAACGGTGTCTGTAGTGTTTGACACTCACTGGCGTGTCTTTCCTGCTCCCTCTCTTCTCCACTCCATGTATGGGGGGGGTGGTATTGTCAGCCGGTCTATCTAGGTGTGTGCTGGGCTGCAGGGAAACCACGCTGTGTTCTCCCCCATCTGGCATTCTGTGCTAGCGCTATGCCAGATTGCAAGAATTTTTTTTTTAAAATGTAACATCACAGTAGCAGCCGCTGGTGGCTGTGAGAGGCAGACACTGCAAAACCGGCCGAGCTGGTGGGTGGAGGGAAAACCCTCAAATGCGGTGCTTCTAAACCCCCCTTCAGCCGATATACAACACAGTTTAAAAATGGAGTCAACATTTTCCTAAGGGGATGCACACACTGACCCCCCCAAACCAGATGATTACCACGTGACTGTAAAATGCAAAATTCCTGATCCATTACTCGATTTATTTCAAGAGTGTAACTGTGCTGATGCAGATTGATTCCCACACTTCCTACCAACCAGCTATTTTGCTCGGGTCAATCCTTCAGATATCTGTCGGATTCCAACTCCAATCAACCTAATTAGCATCCCCAAAGGTTGCCGGAAGGGACCATCTTTGCTCACGACCACCACCACCCCCCAGCCCAAACACTGGTGCCTTTTCTCCTCCCGCTGTGTTGCATTCCCACAACCCTGCTGGCCACACGGGTCCAACCAGAGCAGGCATTGTGGGTCTTGTGCTGCAGCCCAAGAGCAGCCAGCCAGCCAGCAGCCCTGTGTACCTTCTCCTTTTAAGGGTGGCTGTGAGCGGAGGGGAGATGACTTCACAGTCGGCCAGGTAATAATGGGAAGGGGAGGCCAGGGTGGGTGGGTGGCCTGAGAGATGGAGCAAGGCCCAGCCAAGCGGGCTGCAGGCAGGAAGGCAGGACAGCTGGAGGGAGGCCTAGGCTTGGCAAACAAAGAGCAGCTCAGGAGGCTACGCGGTGCCCACCGGGAAGAAAGGAGGAGGCACGGAACGTCCTTGCTATAAAATCTGCGACTCCTTTAAGAGCCCTGTGCCTCCAGAGGTATGGAAGGAGGAGGAGGAGGAGGAGGGACTGATCCAGCCACACGAAGAGCAGCCCTGGCTGAAGACAGAGGGAGCCTCCTCTCCCTCACCAGCAGCCAAGCTGGGAGAAGTTCTTTTCTTGGAGTTAAGCCACCGGGCTTCCTTGAGAGGGGCTGATGATCTACAGGGTCCCTTCCAGCTCTGCAGTTCTAAGATGATGAGGATGATGTGAAACATCCCCGTTTCCAGGCCATAGAGCCAGCGTTTGTCTGAAGACAATCTTCCGTGGTCACATGGCTAGTGCGACTTAGACACAGAACGCCGTGACCTTCCCACCGTGGTGATACCTATTTATCTACTCTCATTTTTACATGCTTTCAAACGGCTAGGTGGGCAGGAGCTGGGACAAGCGACGGGAGCTCACTCCGTCGCGTGGATTCGATCTTACGACTGCTTGGTCTTCTGACCCTGCAGCACAGAGGCTTCTGCAGTTTAACCCACAGCGCCACCACGTCCCTGCAACCTGAAAAACAACCCCTTAAAAGTAATTTTTTAAAACTAAGTTGTTTTCAAAAGTTGCACAGATGTTTTTATTACACCTAAAATGACTTTGTAATAATTAGTTCCCAGTGAAAACTAACTACTGTACTGTAGCTACAAAGCAGGCGACTCTGCTACTTATTGTTTATTTAATCTTTTGTTATCTAAAATTTTTTTTACTCCACCTTTCTCCTTGAAAAGGACCCAAGGCAGCTTGCAATAATGAAATACCAATATCTCAAGTTGAAAACAATGAATATACAACGGTAGTTAGCATGATTATGTAAAAATTAACTACTTCCTTCCTCTGGTGTTTAACAGCCGATGGTGAAAATGGCAAACAAATGACCTGCTTGCCATTTTCACCACTGGGGGGTCAAGTGGGGGCAAGAAGTGACTAGAGGAGGTGCTTCTGAAACCGCTGGAGCCTAAGAGCCTTGTCCAAAAAAGGGCCGCTGAGCATCTGGAAGGAGGAAGAGGAAAGGCAGAATATTCCACTGTTTGTTAGGTTTCATGGATCAAAAAAAAAATTCCACTTCATGTATCCCGTCTTCATTCCCTGCCTTTGAGGCGATGGTCTTCTCTAACTTTTTCATTAGTTTATGCTTCCCCTTTCTCGCTGCTCCGCCTTAGCTCCTCCCATTGACTTGGCTCCTCCCTCTGAGCACGTAGCGGACGTGATGACGTCACACGGCGGGCTGTTTCAAATCGCCAGGAGGCTCCCGGAGGGAGGAGACTTTATCTGGCCGGGCTCGTGTGGGACACTTGCGGCCTGAGGACTCCGAGCGAGCGGCCCCCGTGAGCCCTGCCTGGCGAGAGAGGTGAGGCCCGGTGCCAGCCTCTCCCCAAGACTGAAAAAGGCCTGGTGGCTCCTCTTGGGTCTGCCGCCGCCGCCGACCCCTCAGAGGCCATTTTCTGTAAGGAAAAGAACCGAGGGAGTTTGGGCGGGAGGGAAATAGTAGGGCTGGCCTCTGATTGGGCGAGAGTGGGAGAGCTTGGCAAATGGAGAGCGCTGGAAGATGCCTCTCTGGAACCTTTGAAGGGAGGCCTGATGATTGGTCGAGTGGAGGGAGCCGGTCCCTGATTGGTCCAAGGAGGGGCGGGGCTCCATCTGCCGGGCCTTCCGAACGGGGTCCCACCCGTTTCCTTCCAAGGCCGGTCGGCGGGCCGGCGGGAGGTCCCGGTGGGAAGCGCGCACGCGCGCACGCAGAAAGGGAGAGAGTGTTCGTGGCGCGCGTGCCCTTCCAGGGAGTCGTGGGTGGATTGGTCTCCAGTGGCTTTCTCAAGGCTGCACTAGTGGGTTTGTGGCAGGGTTTTAAGCATCACTCAAAACAGATTAAGCATGAAAAGCAATAATTCTAATAAATAAATCTTAAGATTTCCACAGGTAGGAAATCTTAAGGCTTCCTATGTGTGGCTGAAGTCAGGACACAGATATTGAGCAGTTCCGCACATGGCCGATGCATGCCTGATGGCAGCGCATGAATCCCTTCCCGGGACTGGGTGCTCTCATAAGAATTCAGTCATGGCAAACATTCGACCTCTCCTTGCTTGAAGCTTCTTTCCTGCCATATTTCTGTCCTCTGAGCTTTTCTGTGTCTTTTCAATCTGGTGTCTCTGAGAAAGAAAAATGCAGTGATGGATTGTGCTAAGTGGCCAAGAGAATGTTCGAAGGCACATGTTTAGGGGAGAGGAGCCCCCATAGCAGCTTTATTGAAGAGGATTTGGTGCCCTGACAGCGACAGTGCAAATCTCATGGCCTGTTCTTCCCCCTTCCTAGCCATCATGAGCTCCTCCACCCCCCACTCTGCTGGCTGCCAAGGAAACAGCTCTTCGGACAGCGTCTTTGTGTCCCCTGGCACTATACGGCAGCCCCTGAGCGCCTGTGGCACCCCCGTGCTGGAGAATTGCCCGGGGAATGACGATGAGCAGGAGAGGAAGCGGCGGCGGCGCTCCAGAGTTGTTGACCTGCAATTTAGCACAGAATCGCCCCTGTCTTTACAGTCTCCCTCCAGCAAGTAAGAACAATCCTTGCCCAAATCACCTGCATCTATCAAACTTTTTCTTGTACTGCAGAACTGTAGGACATGCCAGGATATGGGTTGGGGCTGTCAAGTGGGGCCTTTACGATATAAACAGCATAGAGACTGGCTTTTTTTCTGCTTCTGTTGAGTGGGAAATTGTCAAGGGAAGGAAAGCTGATCAGTTTCCGGCTTCTCAGTCCACTTTTGTGTATGTTTACTGTACCTTTTTTTGTTCATTTGTTTCTTTTAGACAAGCAGAAACATCCTTGCCAGCGATTCCACAGTTGTCAAATGCTCAGATAGCAGACCACTATTCCACATGCATCAAACTTTCAACAGAAAACGTGAGTCCAGCTTCTGCTTGTTCATGTCAGTGACAGCTCCTGCCTCCCAAGAACTCCTCTGGGTGTTATAGGCAGGACCGTGTATATTCCCTGGGAGTGCAGAAGGGCCTCGGGTTTGGTCTCGTTCCTGTAAGATTTAGCCCAAGAATGCTATACTCTTGTACACCTTGTAGAAGCCAGGGGAGCTTGGTGCAGAATCTAAGATTGTTTTTGTTGCAAAGGCTGACCTTGACTCTGCACGGGAGAGCAGTTTTGTCTGTAAATGCAAAACAACCTTTCTCCCTTCCAGAAAATCACCACAAAGAATGCCTTTGGTTTGCACCTTATTGACTATATGACCGAAATACTCAAGCAGAAGGACTCTGAACTCACCAACTTCAAGGTCAGAACCCTTCCCAGTTGCATTCCCTGGGCCCCCACGCAGGACATGTTGGGCTAACTGTGGAGACTCCTGGGTCGCTTTCTCTGCGCGCCTGCCCTTTGTAGGGCTTCCTGTGTCTAACTGTGCCTTCTCTACCTACCGTAGCCCAAGCTATAAACATAGCTTTGTTGTGGAGCCGGCCCCAGCAAAGGGGATCCTTTCGGCCCCCACTGTCCAGACTCTCAACGGCCAGTTCTGTACACAAGGAGCTGTTGGAGGGGAAGATTACGTTCACTCAGGAGACACTAGCCTGGATAGGAAGAGTGTTCTGCTATCTTTTTTAGATGGGTTCTGGAAGCGTGCAGAAGTTTGGAAAGGACAGATAGCGAAAGAAAGAAGCTTAGCCAGCCCTTATCATGCAACTAACCGGATGGCAATGAGCCCCTTCTTGCCCACACCCCAGGCTCTTAACACCTTTCTCTGTGTTCCTTCTTCTTGCAGGTAGCGGCTGGTACCTTGGATGCCAGTGCAAAGATTTACGCCGTGAGAGTGGATGCCGTCCATGCCGACGTTTACCGGGTTCTGGGAGGGCTGGGCAAAGAGTCGGCACCGGGGGAGGCTGCGGAGGGCCAGGAAAGAGGTGGGCCTCTTGACACAAATTAGCCGTGTAACATTCGGAGTGTGGTGTCTGGGAAGAGCTTGATGCCTTGGAAGAGTCCAGTTGTGCGGAGCACACCCCTTTTGCATGACCAGGATTCCACATTCAACCCCCTCACATCCCTCATTCTTGACTTTAAAGGATTTCAGGTAGCCGGAATGGGAGAAAACTCTTTACTGGCAACCTAGAGTGGTCATAAGACCAGATAGGTGGGATATAAATAAAATAAATAAACAAACAAACCTTGGAGAACTAAGGAACCTCAATCACAGCAGGTTAAATAGTTTGACCACCTATGATGCAGGTTCCTGTGATCCCGTAGGATTTAGCTTGTCTACGGGTTTCTAGGCATAAACCTCTACCTGTCGTTGTTCCTCTCCTGCCAGAGGCTGAACATCATCGTGGTTGCTGTGACTTCGGACGCTCTAAAGAGAGATGTTGTGCCACCTCTAAACCAGTCTCCCAGGGTTCTTTAGACAATAAATGCTTCTCTTTCCTGTACTTCTGCAGTAGAACTGAGAAATACAGAGTGCAGTAAAAGCCACGTTCTCAAGTCTGGTATCTGACTAAGATGTTTCAAAGGGAGCAACAGTGGCAGGAGCAGCAAAAGATTGATGGGCAACTGTCCTTGCCAGCAAGCACATGCATCTCCTGGGAATCTTGAAGCAGCTCAAGATAACCAGTGTCAAAGGGACCCTTGCTATTTTCGCCTCCTACCTGCATTTTTTCATTAGGCTTGCATATAAATCGTTCCAATTTGTAATTAAAGGGGTGGGAGGAGGGCTGATCTACTGAGAAAGGGGCACAAAATAAATGTACAATCTCCTCGACAAAGGCAAACACAATAGCTGGCTTTCTGGATTTTGTCACAAAGGGCAGCAGATGTTTGTGCCTGGCTTTAGCCAGAGGTTGCTAACCTTTCGGCAAGCCCCCCCCCCCTCCAAGAGACGGTCTTTCTTCTAGGTGGAGAGAATGGCGAGTCTGAGAGGTCCAAGAAGCATCCGAATAAAAGGAAGCACCTGTACAAAACCATTGAACAGAATCTGAATAATATCAACGTCTCGGAGGCGGATCGTCGGAGTCAGGTGAGGAAACTTGCTCGGGAGGCCATTCTCAAAAGTAGTTGTGCTTAGTGCACGTTTTGTCTGTTTTCTAAAACCTAGTTAGAGGAGCTGGAATTTGGACAGTGGAGAAATGCGATGGGGCTTTGCCTCCGTGGGTCAGTCCGTTTAAGCAGCCCCATCGGAGTCCAGCCAGCTTGGGCAATTAGAGCAGCCAACCCCCTGAACCCAAACGGGTTGCTCTCCCATCCAGGCAGAGGGCCTCGGTTCCTCAGAAGAGCCACGGGTTGCTGGATGGAGGCACAACACACAGACACACAGAGGGGTTGCTCTCCCGTCCGGGCAGAGGGCTTCGGTTCCTCAGAAAAGCCACGGATTGCTGGATGGAGGCACAACGCCCCCCACCCCAGTGCTGTGTGTCCCTTTGGCCTGCAACTGCCCAAGCAGAGGAAAAGGGAGGAGGGAGAGAAGATGTAGCACTCAGTCAAGGCGGCTGTGAGGGGGAGAGGGAAGTAAAGGCTGCCTCTCCTCAGGGAAAAGGGCCAGGTACACCTCTGAGACGAATTAGAGAAGTAACAGGCTCATATTTTTAATACTATTACACCAACACTGGGAATCGAGTGGCAGAAGATGAGCACAGGAAGCTGTTACAAGAAGTCGTGTGGGAGAAGTACAGAGCAAAAGCCGTGGAAACTTGAGATGAAAGAAACCAGCTCTTGTGGCAGATTGGGTCCAAGGGAAGGGAGAAGATGTAACAGCAGACAAGCCACCGTATATCATGACTTGGACATTTAAGCCGAACGCTTCTGTGACACTTTTTCTGCCCTCTTGCTCAGATTGATCCCACGTTCCAGCGCATGGCGACCTCCTTCGACGAGTGCAGTACAGCCGGCGTTTTCCTCACCACGCTTCATACTCACAGCCACCTCAGCAAAGTCCTGTTTGATTCCATGGTCATGCCTCTGCCTTCTTCCGTGACCACTGAGTTGCCGAGTCCTTCAGATGTGAAAGTGGCCGGCTTAAAAGGTAAGCGCTCAGCTGTGAGCTGAAAGAGAGCCTCAAGTCGCTTAGCTACGCCGGCATCAACTTAAGGTAGGATCAACTGGAAATCGCCACCCCCTTTGCTTCCCACCCCTCCAAAAGATGATCCCCCAGATTTTTATTTCAGGGCAGTATAGCGCTCAGTTGTGTATTTCAGTCTCCTGGGGAAAGTTCTATTTGGAAACAAATGGATTCCCTTCTGTGGGGGAGCCTATGCCTCCCCCAGAGGAGGGCTGGCCCTCAGCTCCAGGATGTGTTTCTAAAACCTTTCCTTCCCTCTAGACTTATTGCATTCCCAGTGTTTCTAGGAGCTAAACTCTGAAAAGAGGTGTTTACTGGCAGCAGGAGGCTTGGTGCTTCTCTGTCCCGGAGATTTGAGGCACCAGGCTGCCGGAAGGAAGGATGGATGGATTTCAGGGTTGTCCAGGTAGAGAGTACTCAGGAGCAGTTTCTGATTCCTTTCTTCCGGAGCTATCCTGGGGCTATGCAGCTGGCCCAAGGCTGCACAGGCTGGCTCTATTTCACAGGGAATCAAGTTCCTAACCTCTGGCTCTGCAGCCAGAGATCTAAACCATGGAGATGATGCCATCAGATACCAGCAGTCCACCTTTAAATAACTCCTGTTGCAAGAATCAGGATTGAGGCTCTCCTTCTTTTTATCCAGAATGTTTGGGTTGTTGAGAAGCAGGGTGGCATAAAAGTTTTGACGAGGCTTCATCTTTTTCATCTTTATGCTCTCCTTTTCTGTCCTCCTTTCTAGCCATCCTTCTGCAGTGTGGTGAAAAGCGCCCCATTTGCCCATCCTTGGCCGGCTTTCGGTTTACTCAGTGGAACAGTGACACCCATAATGAGGTAGGTTGCCCTGTCTCCCGTCTGTGCACCAGGTGAAGGGAGTGGCGTGGATCCTGCAACAGGATTCCAGGCAATTTCTGCCTGGCGTTTCTTTCCTTTCCTGTTTTTCTAGTTGTTTACCAGATTCCTTTTTTGGGGGGTGGGGGTGGAAGTATTAATCTCTTGCAGCAAAGAGGGATTACAAAGAGAGATCCTACAAAGAGCGACAAAGAACCATAAAAACTAATGGGTTTTATTTGACATATGATTTTGTAGAGCTCAACCCACTTCATCAAACACATAGAGTGAAGCCTTGGGTCATACACAGGTGGGAGAAGGAAAGAAAGTTGGGAAAATGGAAACACAAACATGACAGGGACTGACTATTTTAACAGTTGTCACAAAAAAACCCAGACTCCAGAGACATCTCTGCCATACAGATATTCACATACAGTATTTCTTTGGTTATCTATGCTGAGAAGTCCTTATTACTGCTCAGTGATGGAGGATCAATCTTCAGGCCATCCCACCTGCCTTTCCATACCCCCCTACATTTCTCCTCTGTAGATGTCTTCTGAGACTATGCTGCTGATCTCTTTACCTTCAGGACTGAGGCAGCTGTAGCCTTAATGTTATGCATGAATAATATGGACACATTGGCTCCTCCTTGTTCCAAATCCTATCCTTCTGAGTTTGGAGTGGAAGGTGGGCTGGACAGAATCTTACAGCTGGTGCAGATTTCGTTTGGTTGGTCGGTGGTTCTGTTTTCATAGTCCTTCCATGATAAAGGATTCCCTTTTACATCCTCTGGTGTCTTCAGTCGGTATCGGCTCTACTGGAGAAATTTAAGAAGAGTGACCAGGCATTTGATATCGACGCAGAGGTTGACAGTGACCCTGGGGACCCTGTGGCGGAGGATGATTTTGATGCTGATGCTCTGGACAAGACAGTGGCAAGGGACCTTGGGGAATTCTCAGAGAAGCTGGAGGCGTGTAGGATGGCACCGGGAAGCTCCAGGTACCGTAAGTCCAGATTTGGGCTGTTTTTTTGGGTCGGCCTTTCAGTATCTTAATCTTCACTCCAAGCTATTTCGCTCCCTGCATTGCAAGGATAGCAGAAAATGAAATTTATGGAGTGAAGGAGGGATGTATGACCACTCGAAAGAATCATCTTTCATAAATACAGTACAGCCTGGGAATTGAATAACGGGTGTGTTTGTGTTTCCTTCCAGAAAAGATGTGGTTCCTTTGGGGGAAGGTGATGTCGGGTCCCTGTGCCTTCATGTGTCCATGAACCCCAGCGAGTATTCTTACTTCAGCCCCCGGATCATGTCCATGTGGGCAGGCCCAGAGCACTGGCGTTTCAAGCCTCGCCATAAAGGTATGGATTTGAAGGTGATGGGTTTGCAAGGTTGCCTGTTCAACAAAGACACACAGATCCATTCAGTGTTGCTTTTACCCAGCCAAGCTTTCTTCCAGCAAATCTAAGTCGTCAAAACATTTCCAAAATTTTATGGGAGAGAGTAAGATACATAATACACAACTGTCATGAAAATCTGTCTTCCGGTGACTAGTAAGCAGTTGTTTGTGACTCCCTGAAGTGTGTAGCTAGTGTGGCGCAGTGCGTAGGGTGATGGACGTGGAGTCAGAAGATTTAAGGAAACAAGTTTGTATCATATTTCACTATTTTTAAAAAATGATTCTCAAAAACTGCTACTGAAAACCGTAGGCTTTAGAACATGATCAGTTGCTCCAAATTCACCCTTAAGGTTTGACATCTCCATCATCTATCCTGTTGTGGATGATGCATTTAATTAAATATGGAATGGAATGTTGTTTTACCAATCGCGTCCAGGGCCTAGGGGCACCTGTGCCGATCTTTAAATTTCAGGCGGTATGCCCCTGCTTCGCGAAAAGCAGCAGCCCCAAATCAAGTAAAACAAAACTTTAAAATCCTCCTCAAGTCTTCGGTCGCAGATCCAGCCAAGCCTTTGGTCTCCTTCCCACTCTTCACAGGTGATGCCAATCCTGAAAAAGTGAGCAGAAGGAAGGCAGCAAAGAAAGCATTTGAGCTCCATTTTGAAGAGGAGGTGGACTTTGAGCCTTACTTCCGCAAAACCCGGGTAGGCATGCCAACCTTGGTAGGATTCTTCTTGGGAAGTAGCCCTTGCAACCTCTTGAGTGGGCAGCCGCCGGAAGAGGCGGGTCCCGGAAGCCACGCTGCTGCCTCGGAGTGGGCGCCCACGGAACAGCTGTGAAGCCAGACCAGAGTCTGTGGCCATCTCTAGGGCCTACCCCTACCCTAGTTGGAGCTTGATTAGCCATGATCCGACATGGTTTCTGAACTGAGAACAGCTGATTTGTGACACGGCATTGAGCTTTCATGTCTGTTGCGGAGACTAAATTAATGAGGCTTTTGAAAAGAATGATGCTTGAATTCTGTTGGCTTTGAATCTTCTTTAAACAGGCAGCCACAACTCTATCGAAGTCGACCCTTGAAGGTCAAAATAAGAAAAGCAACACCCTCCCTGCGGATTTCCGTTATGACCCGGACAACCTCACCCGCCTCTTTCTCAAACCAGCCCACCGGGTAAGCTTTATCTGCTGGCCACGGCCCTCACATTGGTTCGTGCAGTTTTATTTTGACTTGGTTGGGTCCTCACGTAGATGCTCTGAGCAGAAAAGTTTGAAGAGAGTTTCTGCCATGAACTCACCAATTTTATTTAACAGTTCTTCTATTCCTTCCCACGGATGCCTGATCTCCTAATTTCTCCCAATTAATCTGTTGTTTTGTTCCATTCCTGCAGCTGTTAAAGGCGCCTCTGCAGAACAGCTCTCCCAGTCGTGACGATGAAGTAGGAGAGTACGATTACAATAATCCCAATGATATCTCCAATTTTTGTCCTGCATTGCAGGTGAGTTGCAGATATAGGAGGTGCTCTCTCCGTTGTGGACTGCATTCTTCCTTGTGTATTGTTTTTTGCTGGGAGCAGTAAATGTTGGCTCACAGTATCAGCAGCAGTAGCAAACTTCAGAACTTTAGTGGTTCCTTTTGGTGGCAATACTGGCAGAGATTTCGTTCAGGGTCAGACTAGATAATACCTTTAGCAATTGTTCAGAAAGAGTCCTCCCCAACCGATAGGAGGCATTTGTTTGTCACATAGGATAAACTCACTTACTCACATATCTTGCATTTAGTGTGTTTGTTTTTGTGACTGGTAACTGGAAAGTTAACATGGGTTTAATCTGTGCTCAATTGTTGAAGCACTGGAAGGGGAAAACTAGTGAAATGTAGAAACTATGCTGTGCACTTAAAAATCCTGAGATAGGATAAAGAATTTGAAAGAAAAAGAATCGAGGATGCACAAAGGGAGAGGGAGGTGAGAGAGCAAGGAGGTGACCGGCCAGGATCGGCTCACCTGCCTTCGTGGCTTCTGTGCTCCGTCCAGGATGGTCTTGGGCAAGTTAGTTCCTCCACGTGCTACTGCTCAGCCTTAGCCACTCACGTCTTCTCTGTTTCCCTGAATGTGGGTTCTCATGGAAATAGCCGTCGTCAAAAGCAGAAGACAAAACATGACCCTTATTAGAAATCCTGGTATTCCCATCGAGCTGCAGAGCCCAGCTTAGGAAAGCTGCTTGGTTGTTTTTTGTCATTATCAAGCCTCGTCTCTTGGTTTTTTGGGTCATTTCAAAGTCAGGCCACAAAAACTGCAGACACGGCCATCCTCCGCATTTGACATTTTTTTTTGATTTCCTGTGTTGAGTCTCTTCAGAGGGAGAAGGCAGCAGGTGACGTTTACCAGATGAGTCTCAGTTTCATCTTTTCGTCTTCATTTCAAAAAAGGAGGCAGTTCTTGTACAGTTTCAGAATGGCTTTATTTTAGCATTAATTTTTACATTAAAATCAAATTAAAGGTTACCACAGAGACCTCCTGAGTTGCCTGCAGTGTTATGGCCAGGTCCTACACATGTTTAGGACTCCTCTGTTCAGTGAGATTTATTGCTGCTTTATAAACTCAGAGCCTTTCTGAGAAAGGAGAACTTGTTTTACTGACCTCCGTAACTGAAATTGGTCAGCAAATGAATGAGAAAGGAAAGTGCCCCGAAAGAGGACTGTTCTTCCTGCTGCATCTCAGCTGCAAGCTCTCCTGTCCATGCCAGCTGGTGGGGGGAAGAGAAAAAGCTCTGCTCTTCCTTCCTTTCTGGGCCTGTTATGTCATCGTGGGGGGGGGTTAGAGGATGCAGCCGTGAGAAGGTGGAGCTGGCTACAAACCGGATCATGATGTCATCTGGATCCTCAGTAAAATTCCATGAACGCGGCAAGGAAGCTGCATAGCGAACGCTTTCTCTGGAAACACCTGTAGAGATAATGGGAGTGTAGATGATTATTAACTTCCCTGCAGTACGTATCAGCCTTGGCTGCCTGAAGGCACTCCACCCAGTTCAGCTTCCGGTCGCAACAATGGCACTTTAAGCCCCCTTGGATTGTGAGCTTAATCCTTTTAGTGGAGGCTCCCTCCCTTCTAAAACTAGCTGAGCACAATCGGTCTGACTGGGAACTGCCTGCGAGCAGCAACTCTGTCTTGCCAGGACTGAAGTTTTCTTTCTGGAGCCGTTGGTGACGGCTGTCGGGCGCTGCTGCAGCCCCTCATCTGCTCGGGTGTAAAGCAGCGATAAGGCCAGGTGCTGTCCTCCGGCTGTTGCCGCCAACCTCCAGATGACCTCATTGAGAACACACCAGGGAGAGGATTGTGCAAAACCTTCAGATGGCATGGGTCTTCCATGGACTTTGTTCTCAGTGGGTTTTTTCCATAAAATCCATCCTAGAGCCTTTTAAACAGATGAAGCGAGTGACCTCATCTGTGTATATCCGTGGGAAGCTTTCCTGGAAAAGCCGCTGTGGGGTTGCAAAGCATCCAGGCTGGAGCCGTAAAGAACTCGAAGCCACTTTTTGTCTATAGTTTTCGTAGATGTTTCCACTATTTGCAGTGGAGTTGGGTTGGGGACCCATGGCAGGGTCAGAGGACTTGTGGCCAAGCAGATGGCGTCTCACTCCTTCTCCCATCAACCCCACTCAGTGCCTGGCCAGAAATAATGGGAGTTGTAGTCCAGTAACATTCACATTCAGGGTTCTAAGAGTTGCACGTCCCCTGAAACCCATTCCTAAACAATTTAAAGGGGGTGTGAGACGGGAGAAGTCAGCGTTCAGAATGCTTGCTCAGTAAAACAAGGGTTTTCACCTTCTGGACATGGATGTGAATGCACGGTACTGCTTCAGTGATTGAGAACCCGTGATGATAGCTTCCTCTTGGGAAAACCTTCCAATTGGTGGGGCATCTCAGCCACTGGTGGTTTTGTGTTGTTGTTTTTTAGACTTCTCCCTATGTGGGAAAGAGGGTGTGACCCGTTTGATTTCATTCCTGTTGGTTTCTCCTTCCTGTTCAGGATGCTGACAGCGATGATGATGATGATGATCCTCTGGGGTTTGTGGGCCAGGGTGGGATGTTTGAAATGACGGCCAATCCTGCTGGAGCAGCAGATGAAGAGGCCGGACACGAGGGAGGCGGCGTCGAGCTCAACATCACCACTTACGGTGAATCGAACCTGGTGGCTGAGCCACAGAAGGTGAGCGCTGTTGTATTACTGCTGCGTGTCTTCCTTTCTAAACCTTCCCTATGGTGCACAAAAGGAGTCAGTCCTTAGCTGAAGATTTAGCCCACAGCTTGTACAGGACGCCAGAAACAGATCCACATAACCAAGGCTGTGATGTTTGGAGGAGTTACTATACAAGCAGTCGTGAAACAGAAACTCTCCCTGAAGTCCGTCCCCCTTTATTGAGGGGCGAACAGGCAGGAATCTGGTTTGAACCCATGCTGGTATTTTCATTGTTGCTGCTGCTGTTTTCTTTCGTCTCTTACTGCACAAGGCAGTTACATCCCTGAGGTGAGACTTCTCTTCCGTGTGGTTTGGAGTTACAGTTGCATTTTTTTTTCCTCCCGGCACTTGGTTGGTATAGATCCCTCCTTCCTTAGCTCCTGTAGGAGCTGCAGCCTTTTCCCCCTCTGGCTGGGCGATGGGGAATGTGGGTCTTGATGCCTCAGACCAAATTCTTGCTGACCCTCGAAAGTTCTGCCTGTGGTTTTAGCTCCATTGCCTCGGTTTACGAGATTTCTGCTGGGCCACCTGGAGTGCTGCAGGGAGCATGGGATAGGTAGTGGGTAGTGCACAGAGCAACACGTGCCTGGATGCCTGGAGGGGCACCTTTGGAAACCTGTCTTTGTGCCTCTTGGCTGGCTGCCTTGTTGTGTCCTCCTTTTTCCCACCTTCCGTGGCTTATGTCAAGGTTGATTAGCTGTGCTCCTCTGATTGGGCATCTTCCCATTTCCAGGTGAACAAAATAGATATTCAGTATGCCAAGACAGCCAAGAAGATGGACATGAAGAGGCTGAAGCAGACCATGTGGGTCCTTCTGACGGATGGCCCAAAGACTCAAACTAAGGAAGAGGTAGACGTCACAGTAACCCCAGAATCTCTGCTGCTAAGTGATGTTTTCTTTCCCTCGGGTCATTCTCAGTCCCTTCCTATCCTGTGTCTCGGCTGGCTTTGTGGGGTCTTGCTCGTAATCTGGAGCCATCTGATTCCCTGGCACAGCAGTATCAGCAGGGGGCCTGGGTTTGGGGCAGCCTCTTCTCTCTTTAAAAAATGCCAAACTGCAGGAAAAACACAGTAAATAAAAGGAATCATAGCTGTGTCTGTGTTTTTCTTAAATACACATAACTCAGCCCTTAAAACAAAACCGAATGTGCAGAATTGATCCCCCTCCGATGATCGGAACCCCTTCTGCCCTGCAGTTGCTCCTTGTATTGCACCAGACAGTGGTTGGTTTCAAAATGTCTCTTTGCAATTTTGAGGACTAGGACGCTGCTTTAAAACCTGAACTTAACTCTTAAGCAGAGAATTGGAAGCGGCAGTAAAATAATATTCAGCACATTCAAATGCCGGAAGCACATTTGTGCCGTATCTTGAAATCTCTGCAACAGTCCTTTAAGGCAGGCGATCCGGCAGGACACCTAAAAACACTACAGCACTGTCCGGAAATGAAAGCGCAGCCTGCCCTGCCTTGTAAACGTCCCATCTGAAGGTCATCTTTAAAATATTGGCCCTGTTTCTGTAGAATGAAGCTGTGGAGAAAAGCACCAATGCTTCGATGGTATCCGGTCAGAAGGTCTTCAGTAGCATCACTAAGGATCTGCTTCACAGGTACTTCAGGCCATCAAGACCGTGATGTCCTCCTTTACTGCACTCTCGACATTTGTGGCCAAGTGTTGAAGTCAGCCATCGCGTGGCACCGTTTAAATTGCCCTCGGACAATACCTTCTGAGAGGCACTCTCGCGAATAACTGTCTGAGATGCTTCGGTCTGTGATTGAACCTTGGTTTTGTTCCACCAGCGGTCTGGGTTGCTCAGTGGTTTAGGTAATCCGGTTGCAGAGCCCGAGGTTGGGACTTCTCTTCCCCACTTGTACCTCCTGTGAGTAGAGCCAGCCCATGTAGCTCTGGGCCGGCTGCACAGTCCCAGGGCACTCCCAGAAGAAGGGAATAATAAACCACTTCTGAGTATTCTGCAGCAGGAAAACCCTGGAAAGAGTAACACATAACTCAGAATCAATACGACAGCACACAGTTATGAATTACTACCATAGTTCTACCAGCACACAATAACACAAAAGGCTCTGAACCATGCAATCAAACTTTGACGTAAATCCTCTGGTGATCAGTCGGGCTCACCTCTTTGTAAGCAGCTGAGGGAATGCAACATGTGTCCGCTAACAGGCAGGAGTCAGTCAAAGTGGAAGGTGCTTGAATTCTGCCGTGCTTCTTTGTCTCTTGCAGGCTGCCTTCCGTGATGGCCAAGAACTTGTCCGTACCCTTGGCGTTTGCTTCCCTCTTGCACTTGGCTAACGAAAAGGTGTGTATAGCCCAAGCATCTGTGTGAACAACCTGGAGGGCAAGCCGGGGTGATTTTTTTCAGGCCATCCATGCATCCTAGCGATCATCCTCCTGGCTACAGTGAACAAACTGATGCTGTTGGTTTTCCTCCTTTTTGTCTCCAGAACCTGAGGCTGCAGGGCATGGAGGACTTGTCTGATGTCTTAGTGCTGCAAGATTGATCTGCTACTTAAAGGGAGAATAAGAAACGTCTTGGACCACCAAGGAGGGTGTTTATAACCTAAAGGCGGTTTATTGCTGCATGTTGGCTGCTTCAGAACATCTACCCATCAACAGCTGCCTGGGACATCAGCTCGGTTCTGGCAGTTCACGAGACTGACAAACATCTGTCATTCCTTGATGATATAGAACTGTGCACAGTTGGGAACACGGTGCCTGCTTTAAAGCCTCATTCTTTCTGTCATGCTCTCCTGAATTCTACAACTCACCTTTCTCACCTTGCCTATTTAGGGGGGGTACTCTACAGACTGTAATCTGTGATTCCTCTGAAAAATGTGTTCTTGATGTGAGCAGAAGAGTGGCAAAAAGCTGCTGTATTGAATCAGCCTTTTTAAAAATTGGTGTGAACTTTTTGTAAATAAACTGTGTGCCTTTTGCTGCCTTTTCACAGTGTCCTCTTATTGCATTGCAGTTATGTTGAACGATTTTATACCTTTGTAAAAAAACTCCTTTTTTAAAAGTAATAAACAACTACAGTATAAAATCCTTCCACTCTGCTTTGAACTTTCTTTTGTTTTTTGTGGGGAGAGGTTGTGCCCGTAAATTTAATCCCTTTCCGCTCAAGAGCCTGTGACTCAGATAATGTCATGAATTTTGGGTTTATCTGGTAACTGTACAGAACAGATCAAAGACTGGAGGATGAGTGAGCTTTTTGAGTGACAGAACGGCTTTCATGGGAAATGTTTCCTTTGTTGAAAAAAAGCAGCTTTTATTTAACAAGCAGCTTAGCTATTGCCCTTTTCCAATATGAGTGGGCTACTTGATGATTTAAACAGCAGCATCAATCATGCACAAGAAAGCCGTGTAAATCTGAATATGGCAGTATGTGAGTGAATCTATTCTGATCTTGTAAATATCCCTTGTAGTTCACCATGGCTTTGATCAGTTTCTCAGAATTCTTTCTAAGACCGTATTTTCTCCTTCCCTTCTCAGCTACAGTTATCTAACTACGTCTCTTCACACCCATTTGCCCGAGAGCTCTCTGGGAACAGAGGGTTTTCCCCACCATTATTATCTCATCTGCTCTCATCTATTTAAATGGATGCTTCCTGTTATGCCTCCGAGCCTCAAGGGGTTCTCTGGCTCGTGACTGTTCATTAGGGCTCCGGTAATTGCCCAAGTGAGAATATATTTCAGTATGCCATCATCACCGCTTGTCCTCTGCATTTTTCACTCTGTTCAGTCAGAGCTGCAGAAGTGATTTGCGTTCACCTTGAGCAATGTTGAAACAGGGTGGGAAAAAAGGGGCCAAAGCCATGGGCGGGACAGAGGCATTGAGGAAAATGTCCTCCACTCATCTTGGGTCCTCTTTGCATTTTAATACAACATTCATTATAGAGCATCAGTGTGGTGTGAGGCTCATGGGATGGCTTGGGCTTGGGGAAAATTTTCCATAGATCCTTGAGCCCCCCCCCCCTCTCTTTTTTTTTTAGTGGTTTGCTCATCACTCTTCTTTGTCTAACTTGGCACCCTGCCCTATAAACCTGTGACTCATCTCGCTCTGGTTTAAGGGGCAGGTCAGGCAAACACCAGGGACTTTGAAGCCGAGTTATTGTGGCTACTGCAGGCTGTCGGTTACTGGAGCAGGAAATGTGAAGTGAAAGGTACTTCTCACCTGACTGCTGAGCCAGAGGTTAGGAGTTTGATTCCCCACTTGCGCCTCCTGGGAGAAGAGCCAGCCTGGGTGGCCTTGAATGCATCCAGAAGGAGGGAAGGGTAGACCACTTCTGTTTATTCTCTACCAGAACACTCTGGAAAGAGTCGCCATAAGTCAGAAGTATATATATACACATCTCCAGATGTGTGTATGTGTGACAAACATCTGGAGAGCTGGGAAGAACGGGGGGCTATTGTTCAAAAGAGCAAGGATGTCAGGTTGATGAGTACTGTTTCAGAAGATATTCAGAAGGTCTTTCCATTGTGATTCCGGGGCTATTGTTGGCAATAAAGCCTTCATTTATCTCATTTGACTCCTATTATCTTTTATCCACCTTGGAGACTGCTCCTTTTCTATCCTGTTTTCCTCAGCTATTGCAAAATCTTAATTACCTCCTCTTTTATCGCCCCCACCCTGGTTATCTGCAAAGCATTATGAACGTTGAGTGCCGGATACACCCTCTCACTCAGCTGCCTTTTTTCACATCAAAGGCCCTCCGTGCCCCTCTGAAGTCAAAGTCAGTGCTGAGTCAATGGCTACTGAAAGGGCAGACAATGGTTTTTCGTCAATTCCATACCGTGCATTTAGTCTGCAGGTTTTTGCAGCTCCCCACCCACCCGGAGATGAGATCAGTCAAACTGTTGTCATCTCATCAAATGGCAGGAAATCACAATGCTCCTTTCTCATGCCTTCCTGCCAACCTAGCCATTCGACAGCATGTAAAAATGTAAGTAGATAAATAGGTACCACCTCAGTGGGAAGGTAATGGTGTTCCGTGTCTAGTCGCGCTGGCCGCGTGACCACAGAAACTGCCTACAGACAAAACGCTGGCTCTAGGGCTTAGAGAGAGGGATGAGCACCCGCCCCCTGGAGTCGGACACGACTGGACTCAACGTCAAGGGAAACCTTTAACCTTTACCATGCCTATATTTTGGGAATCATCACATGGAAGGGGATTTCCTGTTCTATTAAACAGCAAAGCAGGCTGGTACACATTTTGTGCCTTCAAGAAAACAGAACTTTCCTGTTCACCTGCAGAGTTCAATATACACACGCCTCCCGACCCTCTCTTTTGCCACCTGAAAGATGTGTTCATTTGCTTTCTAAATGCATTTCTTTACAGCCCAGCTTCTTTACCTCTCCACACATAAAGACTCTTCTGTCTTGCTTATTTGGGAAATCTTTTTCTCTAGGGCTGTGAACTTTGCAGATAAGACCGAGCAGGTGCAAGGGTCCAGCAAACGTCCCTCAGAGATAAGTGAAATGGTTTTTGTGAACAGGAATGGATAAGATTTAGATACAAAGAAGAGAGTCTATGTGAAGGATATGCGGAGTTGCATGGAAGGGGATTTCCTGTTCTACTGAACAGCAAAGCAGGCTGGTACACCTTTTGTGCCTTCAAGAAAACAGAGCTTTCCTGTTCACCTGCAGAGTTCAATACACACACGCCTCCCAACCCTCTCTTTTGGCACCTGAAAGATGTGTTCATTTGCTTTCTAAATGCATTTCTTTACAGCCCGGCTTCTTTACCTCTCCACACATAAAGACTCTTCTGTCTTGCTTATTTGGGAAATCTTTTTCTCTAGGGCTGTGAACTTTGCAGATAAGACCGAGCAGGTGCAAGGGTCCAGCAAACGTCCCTCAGAGATAAGTGAAATGCTTTTTGTGAACAGGAATGGATAAGATTTAGATACAAAGAAGAGAGTCTATGTGAAGGATATGCGGAGTTCAACCTCTTTGGTTAATGTGTAAAGTTTATATTGCTTGAGAGAAAGCTGCTTCTGTGTGACGAACAACTAATGAACTCAACCTTTCTCAATTACACCTGTTGTTCTGGATATTTTTGCCTGCTCCTTGACCCCTCTTCTGGCTTTGAAGGTGGCCGGCCATCCCCCCCCCCATCATGCATCGTTCCTCTTAATCCTGAACATAGGTGTTTACTGTGCTAAATATGACAGATGCCGAGCAGAGATTTATGACTAACTTTTTTTTAAAGGGCCAAACTTTCCACACATTGAGATTGTTAGATTCTCAGTCAGAATAAGCCTTCTTTGAATCCAGGTTATGGCTTAAATTTATATACACATAACCAATGGTTTCAGATTTCCTCTTTTTATTAAAAAATTCGAAACAACATCTTTGTAAGAAATTGTATGACTACACATGGAATTTAAAACTATTTAAAGAATGAAGTGTTGCAGGCAAACCCAATACAGCTCCAGTATAAAATCAATAAAACAGTAAGTACCAGAACAATATTCTTCACTCTGTCAATTTGCCCTGGTGGAAAAGATCAACAGCAAGCAAGGCAGGAAATAGGGTTTTGTTTGTTTGTTTTAAAAAAGAAGGTTAGCCTTTACTGTCTTCCTCTTTTTTCTTAAAAGAGTTCCTCCTTACGACAGATGAGTACTGCCCAGCGTTATCCGAAGTTGGACTGCTGATTTATGTTCTGCTTTGGCTTCTTCCAGCTCCATGATGCTTTGTTTTGAAAAAAAGTGTCTTTTTTATGGAGGAGAGAGTCAATGTAGATGCTCCCCGTCTCTCACCTTGAGTGCTGATTTTCTATGATGTACACTTAAAAGATGCCTCCGAACCGCCTCGCTTCATCTCACCACAGGGAGACCCCTTTAATGCTCACGTTTCCCTAAAACCAACTTCACCCTCTTCCTCTTTTCTTTTTGGTCGTCTCTGTTCTCCTGGAAGGTGAAATACTTCCAGATTATGGGGCGACCTTGCTTTCTCGCGCAGGGGGCTGCATATTCCTCGCACTTTCTGTTCAGCCTTCTGGGCTCTCTCCTTTGGCCGAAACAGAGACGGGGAGGATTTTTTTCACCTTCTGCCGACACAACGGGCACCGGCCACTGGTTTTGAGGATCTTCAAGGAGCAGCAGGAGCAGAAGTTGGCATGAGAGCACGGGAGCATCATCGTGTTGGCCTTGTACCCAAAACAGACAGCGCATTCGTCCCCTGGATGCCTGTCGGGAAGGCGATGGAAGCTCTGGCAGGTGGACTCTGGAGAGGCACAAAAACGCCATGTCAAAACCATGGAACAAGGAAAAGGGAACCAGGTTACCTCTCCCGCTTGCTCTCCCTTGCCCCGGAGCCTCTGGAATCAGGCTGGTTTCAAAGAAGGGCCACAGATAATTTCCTTTTCCCCACCTGACCCAGTTCTGTCCCCTTGTAAGAAGAGAGAAATTCACAGTATGTTTGCAAAAGCTGTTGACTTAACAGATACACAATCAGAGGAAGGTAGCAGTTCTCTTAAGTCAGGCAAGGCAACCCCTTGCCTGTTTCAGTTTTATTCAGGCAGTTTCCAATCACCTGTTATTTTTATTTCTATGTGCTCTAAAACCTCACTTGACGGATGGAGCGTACTCTTTCAAAACATAGTTTTATTCAGGCAGTTTCCAGTCACCGGGGCTACAACTCCCAGAATCTGACCTTTGGCCCCTGGGGCTTCCAAGTCCTCCAAGATTTGGGGACCCACGCAACCTTGGGTACCCAGATATTCTTGGACCGCAACTCCCAGAAGCCTTCACCACTAGCTGTGCTGGTGAGAATTTTGGGGAGTTGTAGCCCAAGAACGTCTGCTGAGTGTTTTCTTTCCATCTCTTTAGCCTGTTGCAAGCAGTTTGTTTGTTAGTTAGTTTGCTGCTGATCTGTTTGCAACTGTAAGTAATGAAACATATTCATTCTTTCTACTACTAATGTCTCAGAATGAGTTAAGGAGACTACAAGTGCCAGTTAATGAGAAAGAGGTGGACAATCTGGCGAACTTGTACCTCTTCCACTCTGAATCTCTCCTTTTCCAGTTTTAATTCCTTATGTGTCTGGAGAAGGAGATTCCAGCCTACAAAATCTCCCTGTGAAATAAATGTCTGAGTCTCAATGGTGCTGTGGTATTTTTTTTTTAAGTTCTTGTTTTGATTTGGTTATGGTGGAGGAGGAAACAGATTAATGTCCCTCTCTATGGGGAAAAATACAATTCACATTACAACATTTTTTTTAAATTAGTGTAGATTATTCCAGTATCTGTATTGTCTTTGTCTGGTTTTAATTATCCTGTTATTTTTATTTCTATGTGCTCTATAACCTCATTTGACGGATGGAGCGTACTCTTTCAAAACAAATGAATGCTAGGTTCTCTTTCTCGGTCACAAGAACTGCTATGGGAGGTTTGATTTTTGTAAATTCATGTGAAACAGGCAAGTGGCAGAAGGTCACATCTGATTAGCTGTTGGCAAGAAGGCTTCTAGGGTTTAGCAAAAAACCATCTGAAAACATTGAACACACTGGCAAAATCTCTTCCATGTGCTTACCGGTCTGTTCGTCTGGAATCGGAAGCAGCAGGCTGCAGACATCAGCGTTAGTGGAGAGGCTTGAGGGATCTAAAGAAAAATAAGAGGGTATTCAGACCACGATACCTCAGCTGCTGCCTTTATCCACCTCCATCAGCTTTGTTAATCAGCGCAGACTTGCAAATTAAGTCTATGTTTACCTTTCCAAGGACCACTCATAAAGCAAAGCATGCTAGATGTGAGATAGAGAGTCGACAGAAATCCAATGTTATGACTAACATATGTCTTTTACCACTTGAAGGAGTGCATCTTTTAAAAACATGCTAAGCCTATTATCTAATCTGGCTCTGCATGTTTGAAAACATGTTCTGGCCGCATCCATGCTTTATATGCTGGGCTGTACACCAGAGGAATGTAAAGTAAGACACTGATCCTACATCTGGAAACAATTTACAGGGAATGAGCAGGAGCTGTGTTAAGAGGGAAAGCTAAGACGTTCTCTGGCTCTGTAGCTATGATGGAGGCATGGATTTAGCTTTGAACCACTCTGCCGGAAAACATCAGTCTACCAAAGGGGATGTCGCTGGATGGCTCAGAGCTGGCTGAGAAAACCATGTTATGTTATGATAGCTAACCGGTCTGTGTGATTCTGAATTGCTTACCCAAAAGCTGAACCGCTTTGGCCCTGCCGTAAACATCTACCAGGGCCCAGAGAGGAGAGCTGACGGAGACCCCAGCTAAGAGCACGGATGGCCCGGCCTCTTCGTCGACGCTACAGAAGACGCACCCTTGGCTGTCCACCCAGAAGCTGACCACTGTGCCTTCTGCGCCGTATTCCTCCGGTAAGACACAGGCTCGCGTCTTTCCTTGCTGTACCAGGTTTGGGCAGGCAAACGGAGGCAACTCGCTGGGCTCCAAGAGGGAGGGGTCTTGCCAGGTGAAGCCCACCCTTAAGCCCCCATGCCACTTGGTCTCCTCTTTCAAGATCTTGAGCGTCACCTTCTCGTAAAGTCCAATGGGCCGGCTGGAGAAGACGATGCCATCATGGAAGGTGGCGGCTCGGTGGGCGATGCAGTGAGATTCGTCCATAACGATCTGGGATCCTTTGGTGTAAGGGTGGAAGAAGAGGGGAAGGGAGGATGACTGGCTAGAGGCATCTGGACCTGTTGGAAAGGGGAAAGACTTATAATGTGACATGATGAGAAATGATGTAGGATATACAATGTCTGAAATCCAGTACGTCGGAACTAAAGTAGGCCCATCGAATCGACGGAGAAGTGGATTGACTTGATTAAGGAAGCCACCGTCTTGAGTTTGCAGAACGTGAGCCTGAGGTTCAGGTGAGCTGGGCGGTCAATGACAGGACTTCTTGGTGGTCAGCCGTCCACAAGGGTCACCAGGTGTTGGAAACAACCTAATGCCATATAACAAGAACAGTGTAACGTGGAGTTCACTATATGTGGATGATGGGCCCACAGGATCCCTCTTGGAAAGTCTGAAGTCTCCCATCAGCCACTCCAAACCAACAACAACAACAACAACAACAACAACAAAACAACTCATCTTTTTGTCCGAATGGCAGAACTAGGTGGAGGGTGGGGGTGGGCGAAAGCTCCCCCGCCCCGAGCCCTCTCCTCATTCAAACCTTCCTCCCAGGGAACCTGGAATGGGCCATGAGACTGTCATCCTTTGCCAAACGGAGCATGGGTTTAAATGGAAAGGGAAACCGGGCGGCACTTTTTTTGCCCTGCTCAACTCAGCTCTGCCTCCCTCCCGGTGTTCAGAAGTCATGGCTCTGGGATTTGCAAAGGGTGGGATCCGCAGAACTAGGGGAGGCGACTGAGCAGCAGCAGCATCTCCCATTTTAACGGTTGCAAAAGAGTCAGTAATTCCCTTTCCCCTTTCTCTGCATATCTTGTACTGTAGATAACATCTCTCAAATGCCGGGAATACAAAACTGAAACTAAGCCATGCCTACATTTATTTTCAACATTTGCACAAGATGTGGACTTAAGATGTTGGTTTGCTGTGTTTATGACAAATGAACGGCACACTTCTCTGGTTAATATTATGCAATGTGAAGACTTTAGCCGAACGGTTAGGCCTTAGTCCTATAATTTCTCCAACTCCTGTCATCTTCATACCCCTTCCTGTTTTAATGGACCGGTCTCTTATTTTCTACCAACTAGAGAGCCAGAGTGGGTAAACTATAGCCGCCCAGTTGTTTCAGGATTACAACTCCCATCATTCTTCACCTTTTGGTGTGCTGGTGTGGAATGAACACACACACACACACATTTACAGGGAGAGATGCTAAGACCACCTAATGCTTGAAATAAGGGTTCAGGTGAGAAGCAAATGTTATGCTCTTGGGATGCTGAAACATCTGATAAGAGGCCAAGTGAATAAGAAATGTGTTCTCAGCAGGGCTTTCATTGAGAACATCTTGACTCATGCAAGGGGATGATGCCAGCAAAGGAGTGGCTTGTGTTTTTTGTTGTGTTGTGTTTTGTTTTGTTTTTTGATGAATGGACTGGGGGGGAGAGAGTCTGCATGTGGCTTGTTTTCATCAAAGGCATCTGGGCTTGGTAGCACAGCCTCCTCCCACGTGAACCCACCTGTTTTTTGTTTTGTTGTGTTTTGTTTTGTTTTTTTGATGAATGGACTGGGGGGGAGAGTCTGCGTGTGGCTTGTTTTCATCCAAGGCCTCTGGGCTGGGTAGCACAGCCTCCTCCCACGTGAACCCACAGATGGCTTTCTCCTGCATGTCTGAACCTGTTCTCAGTCTTGGCTGTTCACACCTGAGCTTGAAAAGTGGTTTTGAGGAAGGGACTGTAATTCTCCAGAATCCTGCACCTAGCATGATAGGGGATTCTGGGAACTGTAGTTGAAAAACATTGCTTCCCCAGTCTCTGCTTTAGAGATAACCCACCTCTGCGCTGCCAAAATGCTGTTTTTGGGTTACAAAGGGTTACCTATCATTAAAGAAGTGTGATTTCCGGGTATATAATGTGGTCTACTATACTGAAAGGGGGTTGACCTGTGGCCCTTAAGGTGCCAGCTCCTTTTTATGTCCCCAGCCAGCAGATATCTGGTTCTCAGAGGTAGATTACTCCTAAACATGAAGGCTCTACTTTAACTAGCATGGCTAGCAACCTTCAACGAACTTCTCCCGCTTCCTTCACTAAATTTGCCCTGCTCACATTTAAAAGCCACCTGGCACACGGGGGTTGCCTGCCCACCCATGCAAAAAAGGAACGCTCCTGTCTATCTATTGCACATTTTTGCAGGAGAAGACCAGCCTCTGTTCCTCTGTGCATGCTCAGAGGAACAGAGATCACACAGATTGTCCTTTGTTTCTGGCAGGGAGGAGAGCCAAACTGAATTATTTTCCCCCCACAAGCATCTTTTCCCCAGTGGAAATTCTGTCCAGGGTTGTAGCCTTTTATCCAAACGAACTGCAACACTGGGGCTGGGGTGTTTCCTAGGAGTCGTGGTCCCAGCATCCTCGTTCGGGAACAAAGGGCGAACTTTGTGGGAAGTAATTGCACCCCTGCAATACATTCTTAAACCAGCCCTTTGCCTTCTGTTACCTGACCCCTGCTGTAAGCAAAGCCTGAATTGCACGACAGTCTATTAATTTTCCCCCCAACTTCTAAATGATTCCCTGCACCCAGCCAGACCCCAAAAACAGTCTCTTCTGCCTTCACAACCACCTTTTTTACCCTAAACCTTTAAACCCTTTAAACACCACCCCCCCAGGTCTTCTTACCATCTGGAGGGGTGAGGCAGGCACCCATGACACACCAAAGAAGATCCGCTTCTCCGGCAGGAAAGGGTGAGCGGGCCAGCGCTCCGTTGCCAGGCCACGAGGAAGGAAACTCTTTTTATACCCTGTCCACGGCTGCTCCCTCCTGAGTTAAAAATTAATCAACAGAGTGTGCGGCTGGTTTTTCTTTTCCTTTTACTGGTCACGAGACGTTTCTTTTGTGCTAGGGAATTTCCAGTAAATATATATTTATATCTATGTCATGCAGACCGGAGCCGCTCCCACATAACTGAAGCGGCTTTGGGATCTTGGTTCCCTGCCCGAGTGAACCAGATTCCAGCTATTCCTTGATTACCTCCTCTTCGGGCTCTTTTCCACGTACGCATGGGAAAGGCGATCGATGGTGCAAAATACTTGCGAGTTGCGAATCACAGGGATGGGGGCCCGAGGCACAGGACTCGCTGTCGCATTGGACTTAAATCACAATGTGCAAAAGCATGAGGATGCTTCTGCCATCACGCAGTGGGTCGGCGTTCCGCAGGAAACAACAGAGCAGAAGCCCTGGCCGGGCAGACCGCCTCGTGTGTCAGAACCGTGTACAGTGATGCCTCACTAGACAGTTACCCCAGCATAACACTTTTTTCGCTAGACATTGATTTTTTGCGATCACTGTGGGGGGAATTTCGCTGGACGATGTTTGGTCCCTGCTTCGCAAACCAATTTTTGGTAGACAACGATTTTGACAGCTCCCTCCGTGCTCGCAAAACGGGTGTTTTCAGGACCTAAACTTTGCAAGGCAGCTATTTAAACTGCTGATCGGCGGTTCGCAAAGCGGCTTTCCTATGGCTGATCTTCGCTAGACAATCGCCTTCTGCCCGCCCTGCCCTCCTGCCTTTCTGCCTGCACATCCAAGAACCTCCATGCTGGGGGAGGAAAAAAGGGACCCCCTCTCGCCTGGCCTGATCTGGGCAGCATCCGTACCTTTCCCAAATACAGTAGTGCCTCGCTAGACAATGATAATCCGTTCCACTGAAATTGCTGTTTAGCAAAATCATCGTCTAGCGAAAAGCCTTTCCCCATTGGAATGCATTGAAACCTGTTTAATGCGTTCCAATGGGGAAGAATAATCATGATGATGATGATGATGATGATTGTGATGACGACAGGGCTTTAAGTCAATGTTGCTTTCATCCCCCAAACACACATGGGCAATGCGTACCCAAAAAAAATCAATAAAACCAATAAAACAATAGCCATCACACAATCAAGAATTATCTTTCCTTAAAAGAGCGGCCGTCTCACGCCAGGAAATGAACCTGTCAATTGTTCTTTGCAGGGTCAGCTAAGCTAAAGAGAGGCTTCGAAACCAGTCTTGTCTCACCTCAGCCATTAACGCTTGGCTGCCCCTTGCGCCCAACTAGCTGCATAGCCGGCTCAGGCGGCAGCTTTGCCCAGTGCGTCCCCTGCATGACAGAACATTTATTTTATTTACAATATTTTTTAGCCGCACCATTGCCAGTGGGAGGTTATTTCTTCCTTGGACAGCAGAGGGAGGCAGAGGCTACAAGACAAGCATCAGGAGACTGGTTCGGCCAGTTTTCAGGGCAAAAAGCAAACAGGTGGGGGAAAACATAGTAATATTTCATGATTGTGCATCGTGACCAAATGCGCAACCTTCACTGGAGGAAGGAAAAAACGACTCCAAGTCAAATGCACATTTTGGAGCCCACCTTTCAGATATTTGGACTCCTGTGGCTAAATACATTCTTCTGGTTTCTAGAATACGTCCGACACTATCTGGGTAGAAACGGGATTTGGAAAGAGAAAACAGCAAAATAAAACAAAACAGGCAGAAGTTGGCTTTGCAGTTCCTCTTTCTCTCATGTCTCTTTATAGATCCATGCATGTATTTATTATTAGCAGATTACGAGCATGAGCTTCCTGCCTGTGATCTCGGCTAGTGTAGCGCACAATCAAAAATGTGCGCTCTCTCTGTCTCTCTCTTCAATTATCACCAAGCCTTTTAGGTTTCAAGCCCAGCTCTTGTGACCACTTCCTCCGGAGGAGGCAGCTGCCGTTATCTAATGAGGATGAGGATGATGAGGTGTGAAACCGAAACATAACACAACAAAGGGGCAGCTTAAAATCTT